ATTTAATATGTTGCCCATAATTAGATTATACATAGGAAATAAATATTTCCTAACAGTACTTTGTATGATACAGATTATTATCTGTAATTGATTCAAGCACAAAGATTTTCAGATAGAAGCTGATGTTATGATGATGGTAACTTTTACCAATTTAAATGGTATTTATTTGCATCTATTTTCATCTAATACATAAATATCTGTAATTGATTCAATGCATGACAGATGACTGTCTGAATTTTTTTAGGACCATCTCATGGAAAACTTAAAAACTTAGCAAAGATTCAAGAAAAGAGACAATCTTTTAAGGCGTAAACTGCGAAAAAAGAGTAGGATAAAACTTTAACAAAAACAACACAAAACTTTCACCCGAGACCTTCAAAATCTACCATATTTCAAAACGTAGGTCCTTCTAAACGAACTGCGTGTTATCTTATCATCTTCGAAAGATGAAAACATTCCAAACAGGCTTATTATCACCCTTATTAGCAACTTCGAATACACAAGCATCACCGAGTTTAAGCCCATTGCCCTTAACAAAACTTACCCACCCGGCCGATAGACAAGCGTAGCTATTTCTCACGAGGCACTTTACGGGCCATTGTTTCCCTTCTGTTGCCATAATAACCAAATTGGCACCTTCACGAGGCAGATTTTGTCTACCAAAGGACAGAGGCAAACTCTGCAAGGAAAAAAGGATAAGTTTTATTTTCTTTCTTTTTTCAAAGTAATGTAACAAAAAAAAAAAAAAAGCAACTATTAATTGTAGACAAAAGATTTTCCGATCAATTACCAAAATGAATCCTCGATCGACCGCAGAATGGTTCATGACCCTAATGTGGAAAGGGTTCTTGAGACAAGTGCTAAAAGCTGATGCTTTTTTATATGCCGAGTTCATTTCGCTGCATTTTTCTGCATGATACATCATTTTTATCGATTAATTTTCGACCACTTGCGAAAAAAAGAGTTGATTACTTAACAAACGATGCCCCTCATCTTCAGTTTAATTACAGAAGCACTAGCTCATATACTTCTATTGAAAAAAAACTTAATTTTGAGAGGTAACTAGAATTTCTCAAGCTTAAAATGTTCAAGGTCAGAGATTTTCATACCACAAGAAGATTTCTCAAGCTTCACCCGGCAACTCGGTTTTCGTTGATTTTCACCATCTGATTGCACCTCATTATCTTCTAATACCGGGTAGTTTATCTCGACAGCCCTCATATCGAATATTAGGACATCAAACTGAGATTTTTTATCGTACTCGAAGACTAGGAAATATCCAAAGCCGATCGAGCAAAGTTGTTTGAATTCCAGCCATCCTTTCTTTAACCAAGTCATGCCACTTTTACACTTACACAATTCTGCCTCCATTGATGGCCCATTTGGAGCCTTGAGAAAAACACGGCTCGGCAGATTACGTCCATATCTTTTCATAAACTCGGGTGGGATTCTCTGCAGTGAACAAATATCAAGTTCAAAAGAGTTCTTGAATACAAAAAAAAATGCACAAGATTATTTTTTTTTTTTCCCCTTGGATTTTTCAGACAGACACAAACTCTGTACAACTCAATGAACATCAAAACATACACACAAAGAACAGTTATAGAACACAACATTTAGAACTTACTAGGTTGTCTGCTTGAGGGTCCATTATTATCTTGAAGAATCTGGATGGTGACATATTTCTATATTCTTCTGCAAAAGATGGGATTTTTCTGTTTCTATGGGGTTTTTTTCAAGTTGAGGTAGAACAAATTTTACCACATTTAATGGTGAATATATATATTAGTACTTTGAAGTTGGAAGTTCTTTAGTTACATGGCCATGAAAAGAATCTCATGATTATTACCTTTTTGACAGTTAACCAAAAGTAACTTAAAGTTAATTGATTGGAATATTAACAGCCACTTTAATGAACAGTCACATCTGACGGTACCATACCGTCAGATGTTTTAACCGTTTAATCCACATGTAGTTATATAAGATAGATGATCCAACTGTTAAAACACTTGACGGGATGGTACCGTAACGAGACAATAGGATTTCCCTTAATTAACTTCATTAGAATTAAAAAAAAAAAAAGGAAAATGCAAGCATATGGCATCCATAACCATAAATTCTTGAATATTATCCAGAATTTAAAAAAGGATAATAAAGAAAACCAATCCAAGACAAGACATGGTTTTAACTACATAAGGACTTGTTTGGCTAGTCATCGCGAAAATTCACGACATTCCACACGGGCTCGTTGCCTTTACTATTCTTCATCACTTCAAATACGCACGCATCACCGACTTTAATCCCGTTTTCCTTCACGAAACTCTTCCATCCGGTCGTCAGCTGAGCTCGTCGGTCTCCTACGTGGCAACTCAACGCCCATTCTTTCCCGTTGCTAACCATAACTATCGAGTTACTTCCCACACGCGGCAAATTTCGCCTAGCAAATGCATATGGCACAGTCTGCACTCAAAAAGTAAACAATAATTAAAAAATGAAATGGTGTTTTTTTGTGAAAGCTAACGCATTTCGGAAAAAAAAAAATGAAATGCTTAACGATTTCGTTACCAAATTGTATCTTTCAAGAACATAGGATTTGTGCATGACAGAAATGAAAAACGGGTTGTTGGAAGTCATGTGATTCGAGACAAAATCCTTTGCTTTTTCATAGGCGTCGCGCGGTTCCCTTCCGTCAACTGATTAAACATAACATCTTGGTATTAGTTAGTGTTAACAAAATGCCACCAATATGTATTTGTTAAGGACATAAATAAGAATCAAACCATCGAGCTTGGATCTTGATTCTTTCTTCAGACGAGACGAAATATCCCGTCTGCTCTTAACCGATTTCGTGACGGGATAATCGTCCGAAACTTCAATCACATCATCATCACAACTCCACGAGTGCCCCTTATTAGCATTTTCTTGGCTTTTGGCTTTACCTTTTCTTTTCTTGCTCGCCGAAGCATTTTCTTGGCTTTTGGCTTTACCTTTTCTTTTCTTGCTCGCCAAATAATAGTCTTCCAACAACACAACATAATCGGAACCATTTTCCGATTCCAGAACTTCGTTATCGAATAACGGGTAGTCAATCTCAACGGCACTCACATCAAATATAAAAACATTAAACTCGGATTCTCCATTGTACACAAAAACTAACAAATGTCCGAAGCCGAGTGAGTAAAGATCCCTAAATTCTTCCCATCCTTTTTGTAGCACCACATTGTTATCATTGTCGTCACACCGAACCAATTGTACTTGCGTTTTTTGTCCGGTTGGGACCTTTAGAAAGACACGGTTAGGCAGATTGTGTCCGTAACTTTTCGTAAACTCGGGTGGGATTCTCTGCGCGGTGGGCAAAAAAGATCGTAAAATCGAAAACTAGCCAAGATGAAAACAAACAAGCCTTCATTTTTCTTTTTTTCCCTTTCTCAAGTAGTCCTTTTGGAAAAAAAGAAGAAGCAACAAAAAACGATGAATAAAGTTTTTTCATACATGAGAATGTAATGCAGCGGACTTACTAGACAGTTAGCTTTAGGATCCAAAATAATCTTGAAGAACTTGAGTGCCGCCATCGGGAGGTCTTGCCGGCAGCCGGAATTCATGGTCACTAGCCGGAAAAGTGGAATTTTTTAGACTATTATTATAGTTTTGGAATAGAATGGAGAAAATGCAAATGTGTATATATATATATAAAATTGATTTAGGATTAATACACTTGACCATTCAGTTTTCCTCCTCAATGCAATTAGATAGAGATTGGTTCATTAATTAAGCTTTGATTACAAATAAACTATCAGCACTTCAACTTCTCAGAAATGTTAAAAAACTACTCCTATTACTTATTATGATTCCAAACATGAATAAAAAAAATAGAGAAAAAAAAAGGGACTGTTTATTCAACTAACTAACTAACGAAAACACCTCAAACTTCTTCAACTCCTGAAAATGAAGACATTCCACACGAGCTTGCTGTTCTTGTTCACTTCAAACACAAGAGCATCACCCAACTTAAGACCATTATCCTTAACGAACCGATGCCAACCCAAACCAATCCTCGCAATCGGCGGAGTCATGGTACACTTGACGGCCCACATGCTCCCGTCCATGCTCCGAAGCTTTATCTCGTTATCCTTTTGCGGCGGCAAGATATTTTTCATGATAACTAGCGGCACAGTCTGCCCCAAAAACGAAAAAAAAAAA